TGTCTATGGGTGTAGCCAGGGAGCAGCAGCAGCCCAGCTTGGCCCAGCCTCACCAGCTGGAGCTGTAATTGAGAGAGGAAGAGTGAGAAGGGAAGAAAGAGAAGGGGAAAGGGTTGGGTGAGTTGTCAATTCCTATGTTTGCTGTGTGCCTTCTGTATCGTAAGAGTTAAGATCATTTTGAATTGAATTGAATTGAATTGAATATACTTTATTGATCTCCATTTTGAGAACAGGAGAAAAAATTAAGCATATCCAAAAAAGTTAGCAAGAGAAATTCTGAAGAGTGCTTCACTTAGTGGTCTGAGAATTTTACTTAACAGATTTCTGGTGTCTCGAAGAGTTAGCTTTTTTTTTTTTTAGATCTGTGGAGAGACTGATTTAACTTGACGTGTTTATACTTAAAATGATATCTGCCCTTCTCATTTGCTATTGATCTACCACTAGTAATAATTTGTGTGTATGTGTATGAGGGCAGGGGGTGGGGGTCATCAACCCCTTTCTTCCTCCCTACTCTGTTTCCTCGTCCCCTCTTCTTTTCATTCTTCTTTCCCAACCATTGTACGTTCAGCTCTGAAGCATGCATGAATAGTCAGTCACCCAAACTGAGGCACAGTGCTGACAGAAAAAATTATACTTGACAATATAATATTTCTGCTTTGTGAAATGTTTCTTGCTAAATGGCATGAGAAGAGTGCAGCAGGTCATATTTTGAATTTTGGTTGTAGCTAGAAAGATCAACTATCCTCTTCATATTCTCGTAGTTGTTTCTGGGACTTTCTCTTGCAAGCAATTTTGTTACTTGGAAGATATGACATTTATGTTGACAAATCTCACACTGTGTATCTGTTTAGTTACTCATAGGAGACATTTTCTGCTCTACATATGTCATGGCCGTGTGGAAGTCAGATAAGTCATCTGTCCTTTCAGAGGTGATATCTTGTAGGCCTGCAAACACTACGGGGGTTGAAGCAGAACATGCCATTTTGTGGAGGTCTCTTCTCCTGCACTATACAATACAATACATTGTCGCATTATACTGTTAACAGTATAATTGGATAATTATGGGTCATGCGTCAGTTTCTGGTTCTGGGATTGGTCTGGGACAGAATCTGTTCTTTTGCATGTAGTCAAATACCTTGTGGTTATTTAAATTAGGATTGGTTTTCCTGTTGCACTTCTGGAAAGATGTTGCAAACTAAGCACTGCTAATTGTAAGCAGAAACCTAAAAATGGCTCCTCAAATCCTTTTTATACAGGTACAAAAAAACAACAACATACATTCGCTACCAGCTTGCCATCAAGTGCAGTGGTAAAATATTTATGCAGCTCAACATCAAGTTTCACATTTTACCACAACACTCTGTAACAACTACAACATCACACAGAGTTGAGCATCAACTTTGATACCAGACATATTGCTCCTCATTCTCTATCCTGCTGTGTGTGGGTAATGTCTGTTAGTTTTTTATTTTTTTAAGAAAAATGTTTTCTTTTGTGGTCCAACAAGTGGTCCAAAGTAGCCTATAAGGTGTTGTAGTTACAGGTTGGTCTCAGACAGATAGTGATAGTTACTCAGTCAACTCTGAATTCCTTCAATGAAGATACACAAACTGGCAATTTGGGAATGAAAAAAGGCAAAACGACTTCAATATAATAGTTTTGTCTCTCATCTTCATATTCCTTTTTTCTGTTTATGACTGGCCCTGCGATGGACTGGCGATGGACTGTCCAGGGTGTACCCTGCCTCTCGCCCGTTGACCACATGGATAGGCTCCAGTTCCCCCCGCGACCCTAACAGGGAATAAGCGGTATTGATAATGGATGGATGGATTGATGTTTTTGACTGCAATCAAAGTGACAGACTTGTTAAGATTAAGGAAACCCATAAAGAAACCTTTTGCCAGATCTTTTCATCTTTTCTAAGACAGGAAGATTTATTGACAAAAATCTGAAAGTAGACTATAAGTTATTTCTAAATCTTGTGTAGCTTCCTCTTTTGAATTATTGTCACATTCAAAATTAAACTTTGAAAAGGTTGCTTGCTTTCTCACTTCTTTGTTGGGGGTATCTTAATTTATTGCACTGTGGGCTGTGTTTGTCCTCAGCCCTATACCCGTTCCCCCTGCTGCAGCTGTTTGCTGGTCCTGCGGCGGGACCCTCCTAGTTTCTCTTCAATGCTTCTCAGAAATGTTTTAGTTTTTACTTACAACTATGGTCGGTTGCTCCCAGTTGTACTCAACACCACTGCCCCTACATGGATTCTACCTTGTTTGTTCCATTTTCTCAGTGTCTGCTTTCAAAAATTAATCCCAACCACCTTTCACTGTATCGCTTTGCTTCAATGGCTCTCCACATAAGCTCCACCTCTTTGTCTGTTCTCATTCTCATTCTGAATAGATTGCTGCAATTAATTGTTTTGTTTAAATGTGCTTATGTAGCGAGATCAGGCTTTTCCTGTAAATTCTCCCCTAAATCACTGATCAACAGTTGACAGACTTTTGCAGTGTCTATACCATGCTACTAGAACACCTTTTCCACAAAAGACTAACGCATTTATACAAAAAACGTCATATAGCAGAAAAAACACTGGTCAAAATGAGAGAACAACAATTACTTTACTGTGGAAAAAGTTTATAACAAAATTGTCTGAGGGTTACAACTGTCAGCAATTAGTTGGAAGTGTACATGCCTCTGCTCTGAATGACTTCAGGATATCTGCGACCACAGGGCAGCACTAGTCTCTTGTACTTCTCTGGAGTGGTTTCGGTACACTCGTCTTCCAGTCTCCTCCACAGTTTAGTGTCCGTACAAGGTTTCTTGGCCATCACTTTATTAAAATTTGAACAGTGTGTTTTCTGCTTTACAATGTTTTTTTTTGTTTAAATGCCTAAGTTATTGAGGGAAAAGTGTTCTAGATCATTGTATAGACACAACAAACAGCTCTGCAACTGTTGAGCAGTGAAGATTACATTATTTCAGAAAAAAACATTCTCACATCTCCATGGAAAAATGAGAGAGATGATACATGAATTTTAAAAAGAAAAACATCAATGGAATGCATTTTAAAAAGGAAAACTTTGTCTCTTGCTCAAATTAACATCTCAAATGCTGGTCAGATCTGGTTGCTCCCTGATTTGAGATGCCTCCAGAACTTAAATCAAAGCTGAGTTTATTATAGGTTACAAAAAAAACTGTCTTGTATCTATTTGAGAGAATATTTGATTTATCGAAACTGGCTCTCATATTTGTACCAATTTTTATAAATTCTTATTTTGATCTCTTAAGATGTATGAGATAGGCTTACTTTTTAGCTTCAACACAGTAGCTAACATCTATCTGATAAAACTTGGATAAAAGATACAGTCTTTAGCTAACTCTTAGTAACTCTGTTGTCAGTCTTCAGTCTATTTATACGGCTGACAACTAGGCAGAGGTCATGGAGTAAACTGGGGGAGTGATATGAAAATGAATAGTTAAATGTGAATCTTCAAAACAAACACACTTATAACAAGAGCTAGCGCTATGCTTTATGTGGAGTCATAGACCTGCTGTATGTAGATGAGGCTATGCATAACCTTAAGCTAAACAAACTGTTTCAGAGCAGATATAAATGCTGTGGTTTGTGTGCTGCAAAACCTTCAATGACAAACAGGAAACCATGCATATATCAGATAAAACTAGCTGAAAACTATTTTTATGGTGCACTGTGTGAGGGATATGCAATAAACAAAAAAGAAAACAGCATTTTGTAAACTACATATGCTCACATAAATACATTAGGGATAAAACTACTCTAAACAGCCCTATGAAGATTCAAGACTGGTGACTGAAGTAAACTCTTTGATGAGATCATACTATTCATGCAAAGAAAATGGCCAAACACATGTCCATTTCTTTTTATTCATAAACTCAGCTCTAGAATTGCCTAATCAAGGATAGTTTTTTGTGTGTCACCTTTATTCACAACACCTGTTTGCATTGTTTTTTTCTTTTAGAAAAGTCATGGCAGATAGACTAAAGACATTATTAGAGACATGCTGTCTGTATATGTCCACTGATGCATCCGTTTGATCCTGTCATCATGTCAGTTTCCAAAGCATCTTTCAGTTTCACTTTATGGTATTTATGATTTCTGTTGAATTGAGTTTATTGTTGTAAGAGTCTTCAAATTAATCCATCATAACCATACGCTTGCGAGCAATTTTCTAACTAAACACTGAGAGGAAAGAAAGGGAATGCTTAAGTTTGTCAGTGTCAGGTGACTGTGCCCCTCAAACTGAAAGCACCAAACTTTACCAACTGAGAAGTTTAAAACAGTAGGCTAGGTGTCACCCCGCATGGGCTCTGTGAAAACACTTCTGTCATCTATTCATACACAGAAGCTTTGCACAGATGATATTAGTTGTCCAGTAAAGCATCTTGGCTCTCTACCTGTAGATTGACATTAGATGTTGTAGAAGGCTTCCATTGCCTTTTTACTTTAATGGTATTGTAAGCTGACTAAAGAAAAAAATTACAAAAAAACAAACAAAACCTTACATGGTTATCACTCACTGATTGATGACAAAAGGTTTTGTTTTATGTGAGCCACACATGGTGCCACAGCGCAGTTAATCAATTAACCATTACATTTGTTTGTGATTAAGTTTGTATGCGATATTAATGCATACAGATTTGACGTGTGAGGCAGAGATGTGTAATCTGTGATCAAAAACAGTTGCATAATTTTGCACTCAGCCAAAAAAGTAAAGCTTAATCTTTTGAAACGTGTATCAGTTTTCTATATATGCAATACAGGCCCAATAAAATACATGCTGAAAAAGATTTCCCATCCTCAGTAACAAAAGAAGAAGTTAACAGAAGTCAAAATATTTATTTTTTGAGCAAAAGATAAAATAGAAGCTGAACTTCTACAGTTTGTAGTTGCTGCACCTGTGTGCAGCCATGCTGCTTTTTGGAGAAAACATGTTGCCGTTATGGCTTTATTCATTGAGCTTCAGGGACAGCATCTGCGGTTTGCCGTGTGTGACTGCAAACCTCTGACAGACACGACTCTTAGTTTCTGTCAAGGCACAGGAAACTCAGTCCCCTCCCACTCTAAGAGGCGTGAATTGCGTGTTGCAAGCACACACTAACACATTTGGCACATTTACTTGTTGCAGAGTTGCCTTGGCACGTAACCTTTACTTTTCCAACAACTTATCCTCAATAAAGTGAGGGACGCTGTGATTTGCAGTCGGCAGTTTTGTCTCCTAACAAGGTCTGACTATTTTCTCTTAATTTGTTCATTTGTTCAACTAGGTAACAATTGCCATATAATTAGTATTATTGGTGTTGTTTTGTGTTCTGAAATGCTGACAGGGTTTATGCAGCATTCAGGTGAAGATTTAGCCCCATTACTACGTGAATTTTGACATATAGCTAATTGCCATGTTCATTTTTGTATAGGGCAGATGCACATAAATGTCTCATATCCTGTTTTCAAACAGGAAGTAATACGTTCAGATCAGAATCCTTCAGCTGCATTGAAAACCGTAGTTCTTGTTTCAAGTATTAGCCAAAAGGAACCAAGTGCCTTACTCAGTGACTGTCTGTTTTTATATTTTATTCTTTTTTTGGCGTCTCTTAGGGTCAGAGGTCAGTCTGTGCCACATCAGCATGTCTGAATCCACCAAGCCCCTCCACCCGAACTCTCAAGCTAAGGGGGAGAAGAGCCATGGAGGTGACTTCAGCTATGTGGGCATTGATGCCATCCTGGAGCAGATGAGAAGGAAGGCCATGAAGCAAGGTTTTGAGCTCAACATTATGGTTGTGGGTGAGTTTTAAATATACTAATCAATTTATAAAAGACAGTGATTGTGCAACCTTTGTGCCTCACAATCTACATATAATTTTATTTATAACAAAATGCCGAATGCAGATATTGTGGACTAATGTAATAACGCTGATAGTTAAGTTAGCCCTTATGTTGAGTGGTTAAAACCATCTTAAAATGTATACAGATACATATATATGCAGTGGGCTTGAAATTGCTGTCAGTCCGAAATGTATTGTGCTTTCATTATGGAATCAATAGAAATGTTAGCTAATCTGATAAAGTGAAAGAGCCAAGCTGAGTATTCAGTTTTTCATGCGATACACCATAAGTATGAATACATTTACACACACATAGTAATTATATTCAGTGTTATCTCAAACTAATAGCCTGCATGGTTTGCCCAATTCCAACTTGGGAAAATTCTTATCTGTTATTCAGTGTCGTTATTCATTTAGTGAGTGTGCATCCATGAAGTAGCAAACAAACACACTACACACACATGAGTGGATGAAAGGAGGTGGACAGGATGAGTGAGTGGCATAATGATGGCAATTACTCTGACAAGCTGAAGCTCAAACACTTCCTTTGAGACCAGTGACACCAATAAAGGCCCCTCCTTTGAGACATCTTACACTTGGAAACAGTGCTTATGTTAATATTGCTCTGCTCTGGAGCTCAGTGACAGGAGCCAATGGCTGCAGCTGCTTTCCTGCCCAGCCCAGATATGGTGAGGGGGGTGACTGTCACAATCCAGGGTGCTCTGGACCTTCTTCCAGCAGTACCTTTCTGCTGTCTTCCTCTATGATATTGTGTTAGCATATACCTTAATGATTCAGACAAGCCAACTGGCAATGTTTCTTCTTTTGTAGAGTTCTTAACACCTTTTTGTTAAATACATAAGTCATGGTGTTAAATGCCCTGAGTTTATTGAGGATTCTGTTTTATTGTCATGACCTTTTAAGTGCCAAGTGATTTTTATACATCCCTCTGATACTTAGAACTTTAGAAAAGAAACAGAGTAATTATATTAATGACAAGGATTGTAATAGTGTGGGTTCTTCTACTCTGTAGTATGTAAATTGTTACTTTTATAATGGTGACATATGTAACACTGCTTAGACCTCTCAGACATCAGCTAGTAACATTCAGAGAATGCTTTCTCAAAATGCTACCCCTAAGTTGACTGACCTCTTTTCAGAATTTTCAGTGCAAGCTTGTGTGTCACAGTGGCAGAGGTAAAGAAAATGGGAGAGGGTGCTCATGGGTGAATACACTGATCAGTTTGCATGTGAAGTTTGCGTCAAAGAGCAAAAATGTTCCATGTTAAACAAGGCAGCTTGCCAACACTTCATGAGAAGTAATGGTTGTCTACAGGACCTCTGAGGAGATGGTACGGAATGGGAAAATAGACGCAAAAACAGTGTAAAGGTTCATTAAGATTTGAGATTTCAGGGTAAAAATTCTATATTTTCTTAATGATTTACTAAACTGTTTGTATTTACTGTTGTCCAGGGTATAGTTTTTTTTTAATAGACAAGGCGAATACATTTTTAAAATGAAAGACTCTTTTATAAAATAGTCTAGAGCCATGTGACCCATCTTTTAAACTTGGTCTTTAAAAAAACACAATGTTTTAATAACACTCTTAGTCTGCCAGTGTACATGTTAGGATTGTATAACATGTGCTCAGAGTAATTGTTTCATAGCACGTATCTGCTTTTTATTTATTACTGCTGCATACATAATGATTGAGTTGCTAAATCATTTACCACCTCACTGATTCAGACATAATCTGGATAGCAGCATATTTTTCTATAAAATCTTGTATATTTGTTCAAGTGCCATCAGCAAGTTTTTTAAGTGCTGACTGCTCTTACCATAATCCTCAATTTTAAGCAAAAGTATTTTGATTTAGATTTTTCTGATCAAAGAGCAGTCTTAAGTTTAGTTTATATTCAAGTAATTAAATAACAAATACTGTAAGCTTTTGGTCTAGACAAGATGGCAGCATAGTCATGTTTACGTATTGCTTCTTTTTTTTTTAAAGTTCTGACTGAACTCTAACCTTGATTTTTGGATGAACTGAGTTTCCCAACAATGTTTTGTTTGGTCTTTTGGTGGTTTTATATGATGCAAATGAATCCGAATGACTAATAAAATTAGTATACATTACAAATTGTTGAACCACCTAGAAACTACCTCTTTAAGATTATTTTACTGATCTGTCAGTAACAGCATACATTATGTTTCATTAGTTGTACTTTTGTTATCTTAGTTTTAAGCTTCCTGCCTGTGGTATGATACGGCTGTATCAAATGTTTTATTGTGAGTGAAATACTAGTTTACAACATCTTGAATTTCTTTGCATTCTGATTTTACTTAGATTTAGCAAATTTGAGTTATGGTACAGTTTGTAGATTTTGATGATTTAACTTAAAGAACATAAAATTCCTCTTGTTTTTTATTCAATCAAATATATATTTAGAACTAATGAAAACTATGTAACTATCATAAGTTTAGTGGGAAGTTTTTACTTGATTTAGAAAAATTTAACTATAGGCACATAATAGTCTTGGGGAACCTTACTGCTCTCCTCTGCCAATGTGGGATTTCTGTTTATTTTACAATATATTACAAAGACAACCATGTAAAGTTGGGTTGTGTATCACTGTAGACACATCTTCAGGAGATTCATCGCCTGTTGGAAAAGGTATAAAAAATGTACATGTGTGCATACGTGTTGTCTTGGCAGTTCCTCTGTTCCCTCGCCCCCCTCCCTGGCTGGTTATATGAAGCTGGATTCCCTGCCATCCATGTGGCCTCCAACATGAATGTATTATACAGTCCTAACACTGCAGCTAACACAATTTGCATATGACCTACATCCTTCCCAGTAGTGCCCAGTATTGGTGTTTGAAAAAAAAAAAAAACAAGTAGGGTTTCGGTTCCTGTCTTCTGTCGAGTTTGTACACTTGTCAAGCTTTAACACAATTAATGTGCCTCCACTCAATAATTGTTGCTTCTGTGTGTGTTTTGTTCATTTTCTCTTATCAGGGCAAAGTGGCCTGGGGAAGTCCACTCTCATGAACACACTGTTCAAATCCAAGGTCAGCCGTAAGTCAGTCCAGCCCAACCTAGAGGAGAGGATCCCTAAGACAATCGAGATCAAGTCTATAAGTCATGGTTGGCCTATTTTATTTTTTAGACGCCTGAAGCCTTTACTCTTTCCACTTTTCTTTATTTGTAGTTTTTTCCCCTCCAGTTAAAATTTCTCAAATATGGACTCTTTTGTATTGTTGTAATTTCATTTATTAATGCAGATATTGAGGAGAAAGGAGTGAGGATGAAGTTGACAGTGATTGACACCCCGGGCTTTGGGGATCAAATCAATAATGAAAACTGGTAAGAAGAGCCACTTCCTTCAATGTTCTTGTATTTTTATGTGTTGATTGCATGTAGTTATTGAAGAATTATTTCATTTAGAATAAATACAGAGGAAATATTTCTTATGCCTAAGATTGAAAAGGTTTACTTTAATTGTTAGGTTGAACAAGATAGGGGGTCGGATCGCATGATAAAATTAAACAGATGTAATCTGTAATAAGGTAAACTAGGTGCTTAACTGCAAGGGGTTAGAAATATGAATAGCATACAGTTGAGAACTTAGTGAAACCTTCAGTTGCTACCACAGATGAAGTAATATTTATTAACTTTTCATTCTCAGCTGGCAACCCCTAATGAGGTTCATCAATGATCAGTATGAAGCCTACTTGCAGGAGGAGATAAATATTAATAGAAAGAAGAGGATCCCAGACTCCAGGGTGCACTGCTGCATATACTTCATTCCTCCCACTGGCCATTGGTAAGTTCCCACATAAAAAAGAAACGCAATGTTGTGACCAAGTGCCCCATTTTTCATCCCCTAGGCTGTAAAATGAATCAGGCCTCCTGGGAATGTACATTGATCCACTGTTTGTCTTCAGCTATTTGAAATGCCTATTTTAGAGCATTTTCTACCACAATACTGACCAAATATGTAATTTTCTTAGCTAAGCGCTTTCCTTGTGGATCTGTGTCTCAATTTTGATCATTTCTGTAATTATAAAAGTAAGATGGATTGTAACAGACCCTGTTATGCTAAAGAAATTAAATGTGTGTCAGCAGTATACCAAACTCATTTATGCATTTGTTTATAAAATATCAGGTATACAAACACCCACTCCCTGACAGCCCCATCCACAGCTGCTTCATATCTCTGTGCCGTAGTCACTCAAAAGCTACCTGCTTCGTTGTTCTTTGTGAGAGGTGGATTTCTTGTCATTTGTTTGTGTGTCCGCTGTTGACAGTCAAGATTGTTTAAGTTTGAAGCTGAAGCCTGTTAACAATTAGGCAGAAACATCACCAGAAGCTTTTGCATGGTTCTGTCATTTTATCAAGAAGAGTGTCAAAGAGACAGCATATTCTCTTGTGTCACCAAACAGACAGTTTGCCACCATATTGTTTGAAAGTATACATTAAAAAGTTCTTTACAGACCATGTTATGTTAAAAATTCAACAAACAGTGTTACATTTGGTTAACAAGTATAGTTTGCCTATAATTTGAAATTAAGTTAGATAATTCGACTGAAGCTGAGCACTGTTTTGGCATTGGTGGCCACAGCCATGTCTACATGCAGTCTTGTTGTTGCCTTAAAGAAAGCTGCATTTTTACTTTTGCTAACTCAAAATTTCTGATCTTTTTTAGAAAAGGAGAGCAGATGGTTTGTTAGCTGAACTTGCCTGTGAAACACAAGGCTGCCACTATTTTCTGTTCACTCTACCAGCATATTCTTTACAAGCATACAAACCAAAAGTGTACATCTGTGTGTACATCCATGCATGTACATTTCATATTTATTATGTATGAAGCGTATGTCCATAATAGTATATTATTAATGCTCAGTCATGCACATGATGCAGCACACATGCCTGTTTGTACGTTCATATTTCTGCACATGTTCCGTTTATGCTGTTCTATTTTTAGATACAGTTATCACTGACCCTTGAAAATTGTTGCCCACCAGCTTTGTCTCATTTGCTTATGTCGGTCCTCTGTGCAATGTACGTTCCACGTGACATTTGTTCCTCAAGCATTTGATACCATACTTCCTCTGTCACTCATCTTTGCTTAAATCTATATTGCTTGGTTTCCCCTTTCCTCTTTTGATTCGTTCTGTAACATGTGCTGAGCAGATTTACATCCTGTTTCAGTGGTGTCATGACAGTTATTTTCTGTGTAAAACTAGCTGGGAATCTCCTCCAGCCAGCCCTAGATGCTGGCTTGGCTTGGCTTGGCTGAAGCTAATTACAAGGAATAACAACCAGCATGAAGGGAGTTACTGTGGGGAAATAGCTTGCACACAATACTGAGGCATAAATAAATAAACAAACAAATAAATAAATAAATAAATAAATAAATAAATAAATAAATAAATAAATAAATAAATAAATAAATAA